GGCCATAGCTATTAGGTTGGAGGCGAATGAGTCCAAACCGTTGGCAAGTCGAATTAAGTTTGCACCAACAAAGCTGATTTTGCCAACTAACGGGCAGGGCCTTGTACAAATGTTGAAAATTGCTGCCTTCCAAGAAGTCTGGAAGGACAAAAGGAGACTCGCCATTTCTATCCGCAAGCTCATCTTGGTTGGGTTCCCACCAAACCGCCATGACATCGCTACTGAGCACAAGGATATTGAAATGGAAAGCAATGCTCGGTTTGCCTCGTGTCAGCAGACTTCAAACAAACGAGGCCACTATCTTCAATGAGATCAACTGCCGTCGCATTGGATGTCAAAAAATGTTGCTCGCCTTGAATACTACAAGTGACTATGGTCTTGAATGAATGGAATACACCCTCCAATACTTTCATGGTCGTGTGTTGCCCACTTCAATACTTTCTTTTTCAATTTACCCGAAACGGGGCGAACTCAATGATATATAATGTACACGAATTCGGAATGCAAACGTGGCGGTCACCATTTTCGAACACTACAGTACTTTTTCCAGCGGAAGCCACATGAAAGACAGAGTTGGCTATCCCAGGTCACAACCACTGGGAGCTTCAAAGCGTCAAAAGCAGAGCTTTGCTTTTCGAGCTTGACCTTTGTTTGACGAGCATGTTTACCTTGGCAAAGTCTCTTGTATATGGCAATGCATGTCCTGGAACCCGCTTAGGGGTCATTTTCAATATTGTGGGGATGGACATCTGGATATCTATACAAAGTGGCTTCATGTCCAGAAACATCCTCAAACAAAGGTCAAGCTCAAAGCGATCACACGAGTCACATCGCTGAAGCTCAGCAAGATGAAGCCGGTCGCTTTGCGTTGGCCTCGATCAAAAGCCACAAAGAAGAGTTGGCAATGCTTCGCATGCCCCAGTACACAGTCTGTACTCTGTGTACAGGTGTACACCCATTTGGCATACAATACTACAACTATAGATTCCTAGAGGGCCCGAGCCTTAGGAGCCTAACTCAAATTGCAAACACTCAAAATGGTGCTAAAGCCACAATGGCTTCTTTAATTGGTTCTCATGTTCAACAAAAAGCCACAAGGTGTTCATAGTCAAGTCCATGTTGGTGGCACACCAGAAACAACACCTTCACTCAAGCGCCTTCTAAACGTTCATTGTGCCCGAGAAGTAGGGGTTCCACAATCTTCGCGGCACCAAATGAGCTGGATCTATTGGCCACTCCCAACTTCTCGTCAAAGACTTGATCCATCTGCTCCAGAGCTACTCCCCTTGTCTCGGGAAGCCATCTAGCCAAAAGAAGAGCCAGAAAAGAAAAGGCTCCAAAAATGTAGAAAGTCATAAAGCCAATCTTCCCCAGCAAAATTGGGGTGCATTGAGCAATCAAATAGTTGCCAATCCAATTGGTACAGGTCGCAGTTGCCACACACCTGCTTCGCCACCGAAGTGGAAATATCTCCGAGTTATACACCCATACAATCGGCCCCCATCCATAGGCAAAGTTCACAACAAAGAAAAGGACCAAGGCAACAACGATGTAGCTACCAACTATGCTTGTTGAAGCATAGGAGCCATCTTCAGTTGTTACCAAAATCATGTTCGACACCACCCCAATGCAAATGCAGGCAAAAAGCATGCCTGATGCACTCCACCGCAGAAGGCTGCAGCGGCCATATCGGTCAGCAAACATCAAGGCTGGGAAGGTAGCAAGAAAGTTCACTAGGTTGCTGATGGTTTGAAAGCGTGTAGGATCAAAACCAATGTCTTGAAAGACTCGCGGCCCAAAGTACATAAAGGCATTCATTCCGACCAGCTGCTGCAAGAGCTGCAAGGAAACTCCAATGAGTAGCAAGCATCTTATACGCCCATGAAGCAAATCACGCCAAGTTGGCTCTCCCAGATCCTTTAGTGAGAGAAGCAACGCCCAGGCGGGTTCTATGGGAAGAAAGCAATACTGCATACATTTCTACTGCCACTTTCAGGGGGGACCAAAAGCACGGGCATCTGGCCAAACTACCACTTCATTTGAATGAAGAGAGTATGGTGGAGACCTTTTGAGCGCTAACAACAGAAAATGCGTACAAAACCTGCAACAAATGTGTTTAATAGAAATAGAACATGTCAACTTTGGAATGCTGTGCAACAGGGATGTCCCTACAGTTGTGCACCAAGGAACTTCCTCCTTTCTGTGGCTTGCAATGATTTCGGCCAGCTCCATTTCAGCATCGACCTCATCCCGCACCATCTTCAAGGCAACAAAGGCCTCGTCGATCCGGTCTTGTTGCACAAGCCAACGCGGGGACTTGGGCATCAGTGGCATGCAAAGCAGCAAAACCACAGCTGGACCCATTTGGATGGCGATTGCCCAGCGCCAACCACCATCAAGATGGACTAGAAAGTGATCAATCACTGCAGCCAGCAGGATCCCAGCCGTGATCATGAGCTGGTACACCGAAGTGAGACACCCCCGAAGTGCTGGAGGGGCCAGTTCACTCTGGTAGAGAGAAACAACTGCGCTGAGAAGCCCAATGGAAAGTCCTGCAATGAAGCGTCCACAAAGGATCATAAGAATAGAAGAAGCCAAAACCTGCAAGGCACTTCCAGCCAAGAACGTTCCGGAACCGATGATGATTGAGTTCTTTCTACCCCACACATTGATGCAATGGGCACTTATGGGCGGAAGCGAAGAAATGATGCAGCCAATGGAGAAAATGCCCACAATGAAACCTGCAGAAGGAAGAAGTGAAGGATCAAAAAAATACATCTGAACAAAACTGAGACAACAGTCCAAGTGCACTCTGTCCGTTTGTCTTTAAAGCAGGACACAGCAAGACAGCCATCACCGAGGAGCCTGCAGTGTAGTCATCTATTCTCACTCGAGGGTTCTGCCAATCTTGAAGATGAGCAACATCACGCTTGAACGATGCACACTCCAAGATAGGAGCTATGTATCCTCCAAGGTGGAGCCCTTGCTCATTTGCTGACATGTACAGAAAACTACAGTAAAGCAGGTCTTCAACTCCCTGCTAATGAAATGAAACAAACAGCAAACGAGCAATCAAAGATCTGTATCACAAAGGCTTGTTGTGAATGTGTGTGTGTGTGAAGTTCACTCTCACAACAGGCCTTCCAATGAGTATGTTGCTGCTTTTTGCGGAAAAAGACGGATTAAAAATAAAGATGTAGAGTCAGTTGACTCCATCAACTTGGATCACTTGATATGATAGCCACCTGTGCAACGAAAATCCTTTTGTGACTTTTGTGTATTTTGCTTCTTGGCCAAATATCAGGGCAGGCCGATCGCCCAGCTAAAGACTTGAGAACTAGTCCAGAGTCCAAAGCAGTTGTGAAAACACTTACTGTTGGAAGCATAATCCTCATCCTTTGACCAACTCTACTCTTTTCTAAGAGTCTTTCCCTCTAGTAAGAGCTTGCTTCTGGAAAAAGCCTCATCCTTCATGAAGAGTTCCTCTTTTTAAGCCTACACATGCTGTAGAAGGATCTCTATCTATAGAGTTTCGGTGAAAATCTAATCCGCAATCGAAAGCCTTCAAAAGAGTCTTTGCTCATATGAGAGCGGAAAGAGTGTTCTGCAGTTCTTCTTAGTCCTGAACCTACATAGATCAAGAAAATGCATCTTGGTACAAAATTATCACGGATTTAATCCTGCTTGACGGACAATCCTTGCAATACCTTTTAAGAATATCACGACATGAAGAACTTGGTTGACCTTTGTTGTTTAAAAAAGTATCTTGCAAGGCAGTCTTGCTGCTTATAAACTCACTCTTGAAAAAACACAATGTCTTCATAAGCATCCTACCCTATCCAGAAGCCTTCTCTATCAAACGCACAAATCTTCTCGGTTAGACAAGTTTCCCCCGGAAAAAAGGTGTGCGAAACTGTCAATCCTGTATCGAATCGAAGGTCTGACTACAGGAAGAACTTTCCTGGCGGTGTCTAAAAGTCACATGTTCACAACTCAGCCCCTTCTCTTTTGTCCAATATGTCACATCCAACTCGCTCGTGTCCTATATCCAATCCAAAAAGCAAGGCGCCAAAGGCTGAGAGGACTGCGATTGCAGCAGCTCGAATCTTGGGACCGATAAAATCCATCGCAAAAGAAAAGAGAAATCTTCCGAAACACGCACTGAATAGGCTTGTGACAAAAACACTGTGACAAGAACCAACTTCACTATCCAAAAATCTCATTTCAATCACAAGGTCCTGAGTGGACGGGTGTGCGAGCCAAAAGGCTACGTACACTTTCGCTGATGTCTTTTGCGTTTGTCTTGTCCCTTGACCCTTGATCGTAGAGTATAACAAGGCTGAAAGGTCACTTCGACCATCATTGGCCCTCATGTGCTTAAAGTCTTTAACTATGAGCCTGAGGGAGCTCCGGCTGGTAGAGCGGGAGCAATGGCCCGCAAACGAATCTGGCACGCAAAGCAGTTGTCGCCCAGTACGAACATCTTGTGTCACATTCTCGGTCCAAAGACATGGTGGCGAACCCAGTAAGAAGGAAGGTATCCAACATAGAATACTCCGAAGACTTGAGAAGCAATGTGAGAGAACCTTGGAGCTGAACCGGCGACTTTGCTCCCCCCAATGCGATCTTCCACAGCTAGGACAAGAAGAAGAGCTAGAAAAAGAACAATAAGTAAAAGCAATGCCAAGCAATGCCAACTTCAACCTCAACAGTCAACACAACCACAGCCACCACAGCCCGCCACAGATCCGGCAAGCAAGCAACCACAAAGACCAGCACCACCAGCACACTCACCGGCAGCATCACAGCATTTGTTGTGCGTGCTCACTTGGATCAGTGTATTTGGGCTAACAAGGCTGTGGCGAGATCGGTGGAGAGCCGTCATCTGCGCTCTTGCTGTTGCCTTCAAGACAAGGACGGAGTAGTGACATGTTTGGCATGTCATCTCAGTTGTCTCCTGCAGCTCGGTAGAGTCATGAAAAAGCATGAACCACTGGCCTTGCAGAATCAGCAACAACAAAAGCAAAGTAACCTCGGCTTTGGTGATGAACAAAGGCTCTTTGACAGCATCTCTCTGCATCCCTCTGGCTCCCCTGGCTGCGGCACATTCGAAGATTCCTGTCAAGACCTTAAATGTCCCAAGAAACAGACATTCTCAGCGTCAGAATCAGAAAGACTGTGCTTTGAAAGGCAACATTGATTCCAACATCTTGGAGCAGGTGTCCAGTACAATACTCAAGGCCCTAGCTTTGCAATGAGCTGCCACCAAGATTGAAGCACTCACGAGGAACAGAGCCCAGCGTTGTGCCCTGACCGGTCTTCACAAGCAAACTCCACCGGTCTTCGCCCATCAGAACTATTGACATATATGATGAAACATGTATATATATATATATGTTGTTTTCATAGGTACTAGGGGCTCCTGGCCTTACTACTAGGAGCAAGGACGCTACTAGCGTACTAGTAACAAGGAGCTATTAGAAACAATAAATAGAATTATAAAAATAGAATTAAGTTTAATTATATAGGTGGATTGAGAGTAGATGGCACAGGCCCCAAGAGGTAGTTTATATGGAACCCCGTCTAAAGGACATCATGGGGTCTGTGCCATCTACTGTGAAAACACTGTATATATTGGAAACCTCGTGCTTGGCTCTTATTCTCCATGTGTGGCGATCCTCAAGGCTGCAATGAAAAGAGACCCTGGTGTGCCTGACAGGCGGAGGTCTCAAGACACAAGCAGTCAGACGAGAGTACCTCTTGTGGCTAACACGCAACTTTCCACAAAATTATTTGATGTTGATGATGTTTGATTCGGTCAAACATCTATCGAAGCACTCGATGGAGATCAAGTACACCACCTCGGATAGGGGAAGGGTAATTACAGTACATGGATACCAAGAACTCTGTTCATCTTCTGGCGTGAACTTAACTTACCACGTTGATTTGATATGCTTTGAGGGCTTGCACCTAAATGATGTAAGGCTGCAAGCGGTTCAGACTCTATTGACACTCCCAGAAACATGAGAAAAGAAGCTGCCCTTACAACGACAGTGTTTGGACGTTGAACCAAGCTGGCAGTATCACTGCATGTTCAATGTTGTTGTGTCAGGAATAAGTTCCAAAATCCTTGCTTACTTTGCTGCGGCACGTGCGTTGGCGTTTAAAGAGGCTTGCCGCACGTTAAGTGCGGTCAAACACGGAAGAGGCAAAATGCAACTTGTATTTCGGTCAGAGTACAGCAGTGTAGGCGATCAGGAATGGCCACCCGCCTGCGCGCTGACGAAAGCAATATCAAGTGGGGAAAGGACAAAAGCAAGCAACGTCTTTCACCTGCAAAGGTTGCTGGGCCCATGATCTCACCCAGAACGAAGCCGAAGAAAATTCTGACAAGGTACTTCGGAAACCTCCCAGAGCTTCAAGACTTCATCTGAAAATGCATTTGGAAGGATTAGCGTCAAGGCTTTTCCCATAAGAAAACATGAATCCATCAACTCAGCAAGGTGCTTCTTGGGAGCTCTCCTTTCGCCTGTCACAGAATTGAACCTCTACACCTGTGCCGTGCCGAAAACAACCGACATGATTGGACAAATGCTCAAGAATCAAGAAAAAGTGTTGCATGCTTCAAGCAATCGAACCACATGGCTTATGACAAGGATGCTACGAAAACCTGCTGCACTAAAGCACGCTCTCTCACGTCTCTTTTGCAGCCTAGCACCTCCTTCTCCATCTTTTGTTCACTAGGAAAAATAGCAAGGGCTCCCAGCTCATAGCAGCTCAAATGATGTTCAATGATCCCAAGACGTAGAAGGTCAGGTAGAGG